AGAAGAAAACAAAGGAGGAGAAAGAAGCCGACATGGAAGCCGCTGTGGAAGCGGTCAAGGGCATTGAACCAAAGAAGAAAACAAAAGGAAGGAATAAGCCGAGTAAGAGGACAAAGAAGAAGCAGGAGATAGTTGCGAATGCCAAGAGGCCTTTCTTGGAGCAACAAAAGAAAGAGGAAGAACAAGTGGCTAGGAAGAAGCAGAAAGTAATTGAGCAAGTGGAGCTACCTACATCTTTGCAGCGGTTTTCTCGCAAGAAATCAGCTACATAGTTGTGCTAATCTAGGTTAAGGTGTTGTATTTTAATTCAATGTTATTCTTTTGTGATTTGTGTTTGTTTGTCTTCAATCAAAAATAACTTTTCCATTTATCTATCAGTAAAAGTACGAGCCAAAGGGGTTCTAGTTTCCAAGCTCATCCCCATAATTCAAATTTCAGATTTGGGATTTGATTTCAGTTCAGTAGGATTCATGTAAATCTAATATTCATAGGATTATGCATTTCGGTTAAACTATGTTGTCCAGATTGATCTGGTTCAGCACAAATAACATGAGCTCAAATGGCAAGCTTAACCGGCGTATTGAATCCATGGCATGAGTTCAACCTCCCGTACGTTTTGTATATAGATCAATTCGGCCTCAAATCGTACGTAGAATCAGTTAAACATCACGATTCGAATTGTTTCGGTTTAAGTATCAAATTGGTAGCAAAAGCAAGCGTGAAGCCACCCTTAGGCTAGTGCTAATTTTTGGAAAGTTCATCCTATTTAGTGGAAATTAGCCAATCTCATCCTAAAGAAAATGTAGTACTCTTCATTCATCTTATATATATATACAGAGAGTTTCCATTGAGGAATCCCTCAAATAAGCTTATTTGAGCAACATTCTTGTAGGGCTCAGTCTGCATTATATGTAGGGCTCACTCCGCATTGTATTTCACTAATCCCAACGTATATTTTATAGATATTCATTCAAAGATCATCTCTACAAAAAAATCATTTGAATTCAATATCATTTGACCACTTAATTAAATTATTGAAATTCAAGTACTTTCTTGAAGCACCATGATCATTGATTTTGTTGATTCCAATTAGATGCCTTAATGATTTTCAATTTGCATGATTTTTTGCAAGGATGATATTTGAATAAAGATGTGAAAAATAGTTGGTTTGGATCGTTGAGGGCAAGTGGGAGCATTTTTGCTTACCACTTTAACCATAGGTGTACCCTCACCACCATCATCAATGCTTGACACGTGTCCATATACATAACCATAGTTAACTTTTGCTTTGTATTTATGGAATCATGATTATGTCTATGGACACATGTCAAGCATTGAGAATGGTGGTGAGGGTACACCTATGGTTAAAGTGGTGAGCAAAAATGCACCCAGGGCAAGTAAGGGCAAATACTATTCATGTGAATAGTGACTGCCCTAACAATTTTTTAACGCATTCCCACCCATCGCCATGCCAACCACTATTTATATGAGATATGAGAAGAGGAATATGTATGAATTTTGGTGTGAGAAGTGAAGAACATGACTAGCTATTTATAGAAAAAACAAATTCTAAATTTTTGGGTATTTTTTTTATAAAAAAAAATTGTATTTAAATTAGTCTCTGGCGTTAGCTTACCCAGGCAACAGCCCAAAACAAGTCTTGCTTTCAAGCTTGCTCACTTTCATGGGCCCACTTTTTGCCATGGTAACTTTTCCTTTGTGGGGCTTGTAGTGTGACGTCGGTCAATTTAAATACCAAAAAATTGAAGAAAAAAAAAGGGAAAAAAATACCAAGAAATTCATAAATTTATTCTATAAATACCTAGCCATGTTCTTCACTTCCCACACCAAAATCCATACAAATTCCTCTCCTCATATCCCATGTGAATAGTGGTTGCCCTTGAGTTGCCATAGAAATAGGTGGGAATGCATAATAAAAAATTGCTAGGGTAGTGACTATTCATGTGAATAGTATCTGCCCTTCTAAAGGGTGCCCCCTCAAATAAATTATTTGAGGAATCCCTCAATATAAGGGAGATATATATATATGTATATATATATATATATATATATATATATATATATACCTCCCAATAAACTCCTGGCTCTACCAAACCAAAGCAATCTGTCCAGTGATTCATTTTGTTGAATTTAGATTGCTTTGCTTTGACAAGCAATTAAACCACTATTCTTTATTCTCTAATGTCATAAATGTTTCTTTAAAATAACTTTTTTTCTTTTATATAGGCGATATTGGGGAAGAGGGAATTGAATCTAGGATCTCGACTGCATGGGTAAATATTTTTAACCACTTTTTTTTTTTAATGTAAATGATACTAGCGGAAGAGCAAAGTAAATATAGAATCTCACACAGTCAGTTCAAAACAAGGACTAAAATATCAATAATATTGACGAAATATTGTCAATATTATCGTTCTTTTGGGTCTAGGATATTTTGGAACATATCTATCATGCCCCAACTCAAGGATTTACCCAACTTAGGGTTAAGACGTGATTCACACCTTAATTATAGAATTTAATAAAAACTATAACTAAAATGTGAAGAAATATAAAATAAATATTTCACATAGAATATTCAGCAGAAACGAATACATCTAAAATCTTAAAAAATTTACATTATTTTTCAAGTTAGAAATACTCAAGAGTTCACTAAAAGAGTAGCTCATTATTCATCCACAAGCTATGTACACAATACACTCTATAGATATGCCAAAATCATCACAAGCTTTAGATTTTAAGTTCAATACCTGCCAAATCTGTTAGGGGGGGGGAGCGAAACCACAACTCAATAGGGACATAAACCTTTTTACGGTAAATTGTTATAACTAAATTAAGTGACATACAATCACACAACCAAATATCACATTATTAATAATAATGCATGAATGCTCTTCATATAATCCCATTAATTCATATAACTAGACAAGCAGACATGCACGTCTCATACCATGCTTATACCACTTGGTCTCGAATGCCCATTTATATGAACTACCCCTATCTCAATCATCCAATAAATCCCTTTTTGTTAGTCATCTTGTCTAACTTCCTGTCGCCAGTCCCATATCACCCAATAAAAACCATGAGCATTGTGGGATCCTTGAGATCTGGTACTTGCCAAGAGTTGGACTCAACTACACAAAAGATCATTTCTATTACCCTTTTTTCCATTAGTATTTTTCCTCCTCAAGAACTCCAACCAATTTCCATGACATGATATAATTATGTCTTTCACATATCTCATATATCTAAAAACAATGTAATCATTTAAATATCACCAATGTACATATGATCATGCCAACATTAATCAAATAGTTAACATGTAAACACCCCACATCAAGAACATTATATAATATCAAGAACATCCATTATAATATCACACATAACATAGTGCTCACGAAATTTAATTAAATCAAGTCCTGTAAAAGGCCCCTCCAAGAAACCCCTTACATTGACATCAAAGCTTTTGCTAGAAATGTAAGGTGTTTCCCAATTTTCTACCGCATTCATAAACTCAATCTCCCACTCTATTTCTCTCTAATATTTCTTCTTCTCTGTAATTTTTTTTTTCTTCGTTCAAACTTACAAATGCTTCATAACTTGGCTGAAATGAGAATGAAAAACAAAGGAGTGAAATGGTCTATTTACAGTGTAGTGAAGACGGTAGCTACAGTACATGATAATATCAACATTTATGTAAGTACTTAATCTCCAAGTAATATATATCAGTATGGCCTTGCACTCAAAGTCAACAACAGATAAGAAAAGAATGACTATGACGACACGTGGTGACTCCAATTCCACCAATTATATCCTAACAATTTTCATGTTAGAATGATGAGTAGACAAGGCTAGTAAACATAGCTTTGCTACTATCATGCATGGGTGACATGCTCATTGACACCTAACAAGGGGTGCATTTTTGCTCACCACTTTAACCATAGGTGTACCCTCACCACTCTCCTCAATGCTTGACACGTGTCCATAGACATAACCATAGTTAACTTTTGCTTTGTATTTATGGAATCATAGTTATGTCTATGGACACGTGTCAAGCATTGAAGAGGGTGGTGAGGGTACACCTATGGTTAAAGTGGTGAGCAAAAATGCTCCCCCTAACAAGAAGGAGGTGTACTTTTAATTACTATTCATGTATAAATATGGAGTTATCCTTTTAAAAAGAATACATAGCCATACAATAATAAGCATTAAAATTAAATTAAATCAAAACCTTTAAAGAAATTTTAAAAAAGAACACGTGAATTTAACTAACAACAAATCCTAACTAACCATCTTTTCAAGAACCAATATATATATATCCTTTTCAAGAACCAATATATATAAAATAAAATATAAATAATTATTAGAATAGTACTATCAATGCAAAACAATATATATTTCTTTTTTACCTAGATAATTACTTATAAATATACATATAATAATGTTTATTCCTTTGTAATAAATTTGGGAAAAAAAAAATGGACTCTCACAATATTCATACATATATCATATAATTATCGATAATATCGAAAAATATAGACATTGATAATTTCTCACATGCTTCAACAATATTTGGCCAAAACATAGCGATGATATCAATAATATCAAGATGATGAAGATAGCAAAATTTTTGAATCTCATTGGAACTCTATGTGGTATTAAGTTACTCATGTATTTTACATTCCATGATTTATTTTCAATTTTTACCATTTTCAAACCATATTTTCGATATTTTCTCGAAATGACCATTGATATTTCCGAAGGAAAATTCTAGGGAGACCAACTTTAGATACCAACTTGTGTACCAATTCTCTAATAGAGCGTGGGACCCATTGTATTGATGGGCTCCACCTCTATTAGAGAGTTGGTACACAAGTTGGTATCTAAAGTTGGTCTCCCTAGCATGACCCATTTCCGAAACTTGGTTCAAACTTCAAAATATGTCGTACAGTTGTCAAGGTAAAAAAGAGGAAAACCCGTGTGCTGTCACTGTGTTTTCCGTCATTAAAAGGAAAGACTACTTTGAACTCGGTGTGAGTTTTATTTTCTGATGACGAGCCCCTTATCCTTCACCCCAACCACCCCCTCTCTCCACCTCCCCACTTTCTCTAACGTGCGCCATCAGGATCGCCTCAGCCCCACCACCCTCCTCATCAGCTACCCACATCCGCTCCCACGTGTCCAGATCCTCTACCGTGCGCCGCATGCTCTCCCACGCCCCTCCCTTTCCGCCTCCGCCCTAAGCGCCGCCGCCGATGGCCTCTTGCAGGACGCCGGAGCTACCGCGTTTGTGCTCGCCGGCGCCTACAGCCTCGTCCTCTGCTTCGACAATCTCACGCAGCGAAACCTTCTCCAGCAGGTCATTTTGCTCTCCCATTGATTTTTCTTCAAATCTCCAATTAATTGTTTCCATTTTGATTTTCCATTTCTGGTACCCTGTGGAATTTTTGTTCTGTTTTTGGTCACAGATTTGCTTCTTTGATTTTGAATCTGTGAAATGCTGAAAATGGAAGTAGGACAACCCCACTGACACTGTTCTGTTATTCTCTGTTTACAATATTTTACTAAAGGGGTAACATTTACTTACCCAAAAAAAAACAATAGCTCCATATTTGCCTACCTAAGAGCATCTCCGAGGGAAATGTCAAATACTAAACATCAAATTTAGATTTGATGGCTGATGTGGCAATTTGACATCTTACACAACTTTACACTCCACCCGATATGTCAAAATTAAATTATTATTTTATTACATTTTAGTGTTGATTTATTTTTAATTAAAAAGAAAAGAATAGAAAAAATAATAAAATATTCATTTGACATCTTGCTTTTGGGATGTCAAAAATAACATCTCAACCTCCAGCCTTCATTCCACATCAGCTTTGACACATCGGTTGGAGCGATGTGAGTTGTTATTTCTAGCCGTTAAATGTTTATGTGGCACTTTTGATACATCGGTTGGAGATGCTCTAAAAGAAAAGAAGCAATAATGGCATATAGTCCTATAACTTTTTCTCAAATTTTTGTCACATAAACCAATCACTATTTGGTTCAAATCTTATCAACAACATATGTTGGATAAAAAAAATATTTAAAAAAATGGTGACATAATAGGATTTTACTTCTTAAAAATAACTGAGGTCGAAAGTAAATTTGCAGACGTTGGCTAGGCCAGTTGGACATCACTGTGAGCAAATGAAACATAATAAATAACGTGCGGTGTTTCATTAAAACATACCTGCACCAGGGTGTATACACCCCTTGTGTCTATAGCACTTATCACGTTATATCGTAGCATGTGGTGTTTGATGAAAACTTACCTTAACGAGGTGTATATATCCTTTGTGTCTATAACACTTATAATGTGCTATAAGTGTTTGATACGTGTTATAGGCACTAGGAGGTATACACCTTGGCATATGTAGGTTTTACTCGTGGCGTTTTGGTCTCGCTAGCGTTACTCTTTAAAATGTGCACCTATATCATTAGCATATAAATTGTAATATACGTAATGTGTTACTTTTTTATTTGTTAAGTAGCATGTGATGTTTTTCACATTTCTTCTTTGCTTACACAATAATTGAATGCAGAGTTTAAGCAGAAAATTGGTGCATATATTGTCTGGTCTGCTCTTCATGCTTTCCTGGCCAATTTTCAGGTAACCCTTTTGCTAGTTTTGTTCAGAATTTCTACAACTTGTTTGTTGTTCATTCGTTTATATCCCCAGCGGGCAGTGCTAGAAGTTTCCTTGACTACTTGAGCTCATCTTTCATCCTAGAATAGCACCTCAACAGCAGCTCGCTACTTTGCCTCTGTGGTTCCCCTTGTCAATTGCTTGAGGCTTCTTCTTCATGGCCTCTCCATAGTCACCAATGAAGGACTAGTCAAATCTGTCACTCGAGAAGGAAACCCAAAGTAAGTTTTACCAATAATTAAACCTTATACTTGCAGCTAATTTTTCTAAAGCCAGAGTGATTTAGCTTCATTTTTTTAACATCTGCAGGGAGTTGCTTAGAGGTCCTTTGTATTATGTTCTGATTTTGATTTTATGTGCTCTTGTATTCTGGCGTGAGTCTCCAGTTGGAGTGGTCTCCTTGGCAATGATGTGTGGTGGGGATGGTAACTTCTCTAGTTTCTCCAACCAAATTCACATGTCCCTTACTCATTATTCCAAAAAACCAGTTTTATACAACGACGTGTCTATCTCTCGAGAAGAACTTACCTGTAACATTCACTACCCTTCTCTTGCAATGCATCTCTCGTCACGCATCATGTGAGAGAGGGCAGGGAACCCGCTGCAGTAAGTTTTAGTCCTATCTCTCTCATCATGGCATGTCATGTGATGAGAGAGATACGCGCACGACACGACTGTATATAACTGGTGGTATGGAAGAAAATTTTCTCTTACTGCTTCCAATAGTGCAATGATAACCTTTTCAACTTGGCTGTTTATAGGTGTAGCTGATATCATGGGAAGAAAATTTGGGTCCATAAAGATCCCTTATAATAAAAAAAAGAGTTGGGCTGGAAGCATATCCATGTTTCTTTTTGGGTTCTTGATTTCCATTGGGATGCTCTACTATTACTCATTTCTGGGATATTTTCAATTGAATTGGGTCGAGACAGTTGAAAAGGTAGCATTGATTTCTCTGGTGGCAACAATAGTGGAGTCTCTTCCAATTACAGATGTACTAGATGACAATATATCTGTTCCATTGGTGAGCATGGCAGCAGCATACTTGAGTTTCTCTTTGTAATGAGTAGCTGTCGTTCGGCTCTGCAGTGATTAAGCGTTCAAAGCTCTGTTGTGAATGGGAATGTATCCAAAGTCGAAACCGCATCCATTGAGCTCTGTGACACATTGACAAAAATAGAGCAAAACAAAAATGCAAACCAATTTTAGAGCCAACAAGGTAAATAGTGTCTAGCTAATTTTCATGCCATCCTATGAGAAAGGGTCTTATTTTCTGAGTTGTTTTGTATTCTTAGCGAGCAGTTACCCGTGTATCCAAGATCAGAATTTGGCCTATTCCCCTCTTTCGATTTCCTTTTGTAACCGAAAAGTGAAAATGTTTAGGGGCTAAATTTCAAATGCATCGTAGCTTCAACAGATGGGCTTCCGGATTATGAACTGCATATATGCCTAACAATTGCCAATTCTGCATTGTCCCTAGGTTAAGCCCTACCTTGGGTGGGTTTTATATGCCAATTTGATCACCACAATTGGTTGCCCTTCGCATCCAAGCTCATGGTTAAAAAAAAAAATCAAAAGCGGATTCTAAAGTTGCATCAAATCATTTGGTTTAACGACATTTAGTCTCCACTTTTTAAAGGAAGTCTTGAGTTCAAATCTCATAGACGAGAGTTTCGTGTGGTGTTGAATAAATTAAAAAAAGGCACAGGATTACATTATTTATTTGCTTGAGCTTAGGGCATGTGTTTGATAAGACACGGGGTTACAATTTTCTTTGCTCCCATGAACAAACGCCACATGGATTGAGTAGGTTTAGGCCAAAAGTTAAAAAACAAATCAACATGGATTCAAGTAGGCTGGATTTGACCCACGCGGCCCAAATTTTTTTGTAGGTCTAATATCAAATATAGAGCACTCAGCTGGGCCAAAGTATGATAATAGGATTTTATCTGTAAAACGTTTCCCCACAAAAATGCTTTTAATAGAAATATTAATCATAAACAAAGAATATAATTGTTCCTAAGCATCCCAATTCTAACCGATTAGTTATTAGTTTAGTGGTATTTATGTCGGAAGATATCTCAAGTTCGAATCTCCCTCTCTCGTTGATAAAAAAAAATTAATATAAAAAACAAAAATGTTATGTTGTGAGCTGAGAATAATAGGCTGTTAAAGCATATACTTAGTTGTTCACGTAAAATAATCAAAAGCTATTTATGGGAAAGTTTCACAACCATTTGGTTTGCAGATAATGTATAATATAATTATCATACTGCAGTTTATATGTTGAAGCTTGGCCAATAATGTTCTGCATATGGGAACAAATAATCACCTTTACAAGATTCCACTTTTATAGAATTATTTTCATTAACACCCCTAAAGTTTTCCCTTTTTTTTTTCACAAAAGATTTCATAACTTACACAAACACCCCATGAGGTTTTAAATTGTTTTCACAAAACCCTTTTTTGTTGATTATGATTGATGATTTTATATACAAAATTTCTCTAAATGACAAAGTTAGCCTGTGAGATTAGATTGCTATACATTTATTGAGGTTAATTTTGTCATTTGGATAAGTTTTTTTAATTAATGAAATCATCAATTTTTGGACGAAAAATCAACGAAAATGAGTTTTGTGGAAACAATTTGAAACATCAAGGGGTGTTTGTAATTTTTTAAACCTCAACGGGTTTTGTAAAAACACCGAAAACCTCAGAGGGGGTTAGTGTAACTCTACCTTTATACCTTGTCAATTAAAGATAAGCATAAATGATATTAAACATGTTTATAGTAATTTAAAAAGGGTTTTTCACAAAGAGATCCATTTTATAAATAAAATAAAAACCTCAAAAAGCTTATTTGGAGAGAAAAACCCTAAACTAGTCACTTGCATTTTTTTAATTGGTTCTTAGTGTGTTATAATTTTCTAAGAACCAATAAAAAATGACAAACGGCTAATTAAGGGTTTTTCTCTCCGAATAGACTCTTTAAGGATTTTTGTATAAAATGTCATGTTAAAATGGATCGATTTATAAAAAGTTATTAAAAAAAATAGTTAGATCAATGAATAATGCCCTTGAATTTTGGCATTTCCTTTCGGCACAAAAGGGGAAAGCGACTTGAATTTTGTGATAGAGTCTGAAGAAAAATTACATGGTGGAAGATGGAAGATGCTGAAAAGGAGCCACATTCGTAGTTATGGCATGTTCAATTATTCTTGGCTTCAAGTCAATGGGGCCTCTTCGATGGTTTTCGAGGTCATAATTATAGTTCTTGATCTTTCTCGTGAATTGTATTCGTCTATGTAAAGAAAAATAAAAATAAAATAATATGAAAATCCAAGGCAATCAACTTGCTAATAAGGTTGACCATTGACGAGGCATAATGTTATTGGCAAGGCTTATCTTTATTTTTGGTTGTTGTTGCCCTAGTTGATTGAACAACAACTTGCCATAAGTCGTCTCCTCCACAGGATAGGATGCGTTGACCAAAAGCGTCGCAAGTGTTAACAACTTCCCACCATTGGCAACTGCCTAGCCACTGCTTGAGGATAGGTATAAGGAAGCTAGTGAGTAGTTTCTTGGTGGGTCTAGTGCTCTTTTATATATGGATTTTGGACCATACTTACATTCCATGAATGCATAGATTATGGTATGTTAGATTTCATAGAGACTTGTCAACCCCCATTATTATCGGTACTGATATTATCCATAACTTAACTATTTGCAAAGCTGAGTAGGTGTGAGGTTTTATCAGAACTATTCATTATATATTTTATTTTATTTATCAAGTTTTCGATGTGCGATTTTATATTCTTAAACGCCATGGGCCATCATCCAAACATCAAAATATACCATTCCGACTAAACCAAAAAAAAACATATACACTTCAAAGACTTTTAAGCAATTCAGGTAACACTAGATAAAGCGTTTGTCCAGGACCCGAATTTCATACAATAGTAGGGATGCTATGGATATAATTAGGTTTACCCTAATCAATATGCAAAATAAAATTTGAAGTGCAAATATTCAAGACGTTATACTTGTGCTTGTTACTAATAAAGAGTAAAGTCCGGATTCAAATCTCACAATTTTATACCTAAAAATAATTAGCAGAAAAAGTTAGGTAGATATGATATGAACACACAAAAATTCAAAGAAAAAGAAGCTCATCTTTCCCCCTATAGACCTAAGAGATCATAAATGTTAAACGTGTTTTAGTTGAGAAAGTATGCATCATCCTATTAGGACCACCACCACCATGGCTAAACCATAGTCTTCTTTTGGTAAATGCATTTGCTTTTGCACCGTAGTAAAGAAGCTACTCGATCGAGGCCAGCTTACGTAGCCCACAAAACAATGATTAATCCACTTTAGACAAGGACGACACATAGATATTGTCTCTCATTTGTCGATAATAAAAAATATTTTAAATATTTGCTATGATTTCCATCCAATAAAAGAGGCTATTTCCACTATTTATATCTTCTGCACCTTTCATTTTCGTTCTAGTGTCCAATTTCTTAACGAAATAAGCGCCTGTTCCTTAATTATGTGGAGGGTTGTTATTATACTAATAACTAGTTCTTTTTTTCATCAATTGGGAGAAAGGATATTCGAATTTAAAACATATTCTAATATTAAGAAAATAGATTTTTTTTTTCCCAAACGAAGAGAGTTTTATTCAAGACGAATTGAAAGGTTTACATCTAGCCAAAATATCAAAAATCTACTCAGGCCACACTTAGTCCTAGACGTGGTTACCTCTTACTCTAGACAAAAAAGCCACAACCTCATGCGCTGTCTTATTACATTGACGGGGAATAACTATAAAAACAACATGTTGTAGCTTATTAGCAAGCATCTTGATGTCAAAAACGACCTGTTGTAGCTTACTAGCAAGCATCTTTATGTCAAAAACAATAACTTTCACCGTAACTTCTACGTGACGCTCATGTCAAAAATAACTTGTTGTAGCTTACTAACAAACATCTTTATGTCAAAAACAATAACTTTTACCGTAACTTCTACGTGACGCTCACCTTTAAGCATCTGGATCATTCGCACCAAGTCAAATTCAACTTCCACACAAAACATTCGACACTTGAGGCAAGCAAGCAAAGCTTTCGATATGAAAAGACAAGAGAAAGTTCATAAAAGGTTGCAAGAAAATTCGTGGACATATATTTATCATTTTTATTCCTATGTGTATACATCCGCAATTTCCAACTAATAGCCAAATACGATGAGAAATTTCGCAGTTTCCAAACCCTACAAAGAGACCACGGCAAAGAATGTTTTGTTCTTGAAAGAATCCACTTCACCACAAAGAATTTTAGGCCACAAAATAATAGCAAAATATTTAAATAAAAAAGCAAACACAGTGTTTTTTTAACGTCAAATCCTGTCAGTCAACTGCACACCCCCCCCAAGTACGCCTTCCTATCCAAATTCATTTTATTCTAAACATTGCTAACTGGGGGAGAAAACAACTTTGTTATGACCAACATTTTTTAATTTTATAAAACAAATACAAGTCAGATAGAACACAATTAATTAATTGAAAGTTGGCTTGAGAGTTTTATTTATTTATTTATTTAACTGTGTTACCTTAAAACATTTAAGGTTTAAAAAAAAAAAAATTATAATACAAATCAAGCTAATGTTTACTTGATACAAAATCTGTAATTATATTACTACTGTTCACAAATTTAATATTCCTTCATACTTACGAAGTATATGCAACTTACAAGTGATGTTAAAGACAGTCGTCCCACGCATGAGTAGTTGTTAGATGGTGATGTTGATCCATGAAGCTTTACTTGTTTAGGGCATACAATTGGAGATCGAAATTATAGGTGTCTTGTAGCCAAACTGTCATACGGAGTCACTTTCAACTCTCCACCACCGCAAATGAAAAGTTAGCGACCAAGGTGAGTTTCAGCCCATTCCATTACGTATTATAGCATAGTGTCTTCTTTCAAATTCTCATCCCATGCCAGATATTGCGTATAGCTCGACCGTTACCTTTTGTGGTGATTTTCTATCAAATGCATTGAGTTCTCATGCATGGGTCTTATAGCTACTAAGGGAAAAATAATTGGCTATATTCTCAAAATATGAAAACATGTCATTTTCATCTCATCAATGGCAGAAAAACTTGTATGAATCGGGTTAATTAGTAATGAGCATCTAAGTGCAAATGTTTTTCTTTTTTAGGGGAGGGGGAGGGGGAGGATAAACACTACCTATCTTTTCGAAGTGAAAAGCCAAGAGCTTATTTGGAAAGGTGTATTGATCATCTTTCTAAGTACATTTTGTATTGATTACCGACTTATATGCAGTGGATATTTGTAAAGGAGATGCGTTTAATAATCTTCAATCATATATAATTTCTATTTTCAAATTAAGTGTTA